ATTTGTCTAATTGAACGTTGTGCTGAAATCGCCTTACTGTTTCTCAATATGGAGATGCAGGCTTCTGTTTTTCTGTTGTGTTCTCAGGGCGACTGAGAACTTCTGTCAACATTTTGCCCCTTCTTAGCTTTTTCAAATCAATGGAAGGTGGCTAGATACTTGGATGGGAGGCCAGCTAATAACTTCCAGGGCTGTAGGCTAGATATAAAAGTTAAAAAAAAAAAGCAAAACAAAACAAAACTGGGGAAAAACGCTGTGGTCAATCACTTCTATTTTGGTGCAAGAAAATTATGTGGAAAGCTGATCTTGAGGAATCTCTACCTGCCCTTTGTTTGGCCCAGATAGGGGGCACCTAGGCCCTCTTGGCTGACCTCCAGGTTGGGCATGGTTAGCATTGATTAATGGATTGATTGATTGATTACATGCCATCAAGCCATTTTTGACTCTTAGCAACCACATAGATAGATTTTCTCCAGGATGATCTGTCCCCAACCTGGTCCTTCAGGTCTTCCAACAGCGTGCCCATCACTACTGTAACTGAGTCCCTCCATCTTGCTGCTGGTCGTCCTCTTCTTCTTTTTCCTTCCACCTTTCCCAGCATTAGAGCCTTTTCCAGAGGGCTGGGTCTTCACATAGTGTGTTCAAAATAGGATAATTTGAGCCTGGTCATTTGTGCCTCGAGTGAGAACTCTGGGTTGATGTGTTTGATGATCCATCGGCTTGTCTTCTTGGCTGTCCACGGTATTCTCAGGAGTCTTCTCCAGCACCAAAGTTCAAAAGCATCAATACCCTTCCTATCCTGTTTCTTCAAAGTCCAACTTTCACTTCCATAGTGAAATCACAGGGAATCCCATGGCTTGCACGATTCTGATCTTTGTAGGCATAGACACAACATGGCATCTGAATATCTTTTCCAAGGCCTTCATGGCTGCTCTACCAAGTGCTAGTTTGTGGCGTGTTTCTTGACTGCTTCTTCCTTTACTGTTGATGGCTGATCTTAAACGTTGGATGAGACCCCACCAGGAAACCCATGATTGACTATACAGAACAAGCAACCAACAGGAAGTGAAGGAGATCCTGGTGCTTGGTATCACATACTGTTAGAAGCACCTGCGCTGGTGTTGGTTTATTTTGCAACGTTGTTCTGACCTGTTCCTCAGGGCAAAGCTTTCAGAGCCAAATGAAGAACTGGGTATTCAGTGATGCGCTCTTCGGCTGAAGCTTACCTAAGTGTATCTCCTGCCTCGCTGAACAAAACATCAGGAAGTTAATTCATGCCAAGAGAGGATTGCAGATCAATCTTACCAGCCTGGGCTAGGTGGTAAAATGACCCTCTAGAGCCATTGGCATCTCACGTTATTGAATAGGTCAGGAATGTTTTCCAGTATCATGGGACATGCTGGCTGTCAATTATTATTTTAGGGGGGAGTATAAAACTTCCTCAAACTGAGCTTAAATCCTGGTTCAGGGCAGCAAAACAGAAGTGAGTTGCTCCTATTTTCTTGCAGGATGCTTTTATTGATTGATTTATATTGATTTATATGGCTGCCCGTTTCACCAATGAGCCTCTGGGCGGCTAACAAGAATTAAGATATAATATAAATACAATATATATTAAGGAAAAAAAGCATTCCCATCCAATTAAGACAAAGTGGCTCCCAAACCCCCCATTCACCGATAGTGTGGGCTCCATTACTCTCCTGGCCCCCACACCTGGGAAAGCAGGCAGGTCTTCAAGGCTTTTCCAGAAAGTGAACCGAGTTGGATCTTGCTAGATGACAGTCCCTGATTGACGGGACCTGGAGCTTGTTCCTCCAGCCCAAGCTAATGGGATGGATAGAAACAATGGGAGTAAGGCAATCCCTCAAATACCCTACCTTACATCTACTCAGTCTAGCCAGCAGCTCTGAGATTTTTCTGGTGGTCTCTCATCCAAAAGCTAATCAGACTCCACCTTGCTCATCTGTTCTGATCAGCCAAGATCAGGGAGGGGGCTGGGGGCTTCTTAGTCTGTAGGACACCCAATTGGGAGACATGGAGAACATGTTTCGGTTAGAATGGCAATGTATGTTAACCATAGGCTTCTCCCTGTAGATTCAGCACGCAAAGCTGAAGGAACATCAGATATCTTGGAGAGCTCTGGGTTCAATCTGTCAACCCCCCAGGGAAGAGAACCAGCCTTGCATCATGCCCTTTATCCTCTCTGGTAGCGATAGGACAGTTGCATAAGACACAAGAGGAGGAAATAAGCAGAACTTCTTGGAGAAAAGAGAAGATCTCAAGGTCAAAAGATCTTACTGGCAATCATTCCATTTCTCAACCACTTCTTGCTTTCTTGCTCATGCCAGATTTCCTCTTTGAAACAAGGGCAGGGCAGGATCCATCTGGCCCAGTTGGAGGCTAACGTGTGAGTGCATTCCGTCTTGCATATGCATTCCAATGTTCAAAAATGATTTTAGAGAACAGTCTCATTTCTTTTAAGCCTGGTGACACCTTCTGCTCTGCTGGGTTCCAAATTAACAAAATATTATAGGTGGAGGGCCACGACTGCAACTCCTGCCACACAGGAAAAAATCAGAAGGAGCTGGGGAGCACCATTTCCAACTAACAAATTTTATTAAAAGGCATAAGCTTTTGGGAGCTGATCAGAAAAGGTGCTACCCAGCTCCTCCTGATGTTTTGCTACCATCGACTAACACGGCTCTCCTCCTGCCTTGTCCCCTAGGTTCATCCCGAGAGAGAGCAGCCAGTGCCAAATTTTACACGGCAGATGATCAAAGAGCTCTACTAGACCTTTTCTACAGATTCTTCCTCCTGGTGACTTTCATGTGCTTTCTTCCAATTCTTAAGTCAGCAGAAAAGGACACCAGCTGAGTTAGCAACAAGGCTTGCAAGTGACCCTGTCTCCTTCAGCTTTACTGTGGGACAATTTAAGGGCACGGAGTGGTGGATTTCTCTGGCTTCCCTTCCCACCCAGTATCACCAGCCCATGGAAAAAACCACCACCAGTTGCTATCCTTAATATATAGTGGAGCAAACTGGGGCAAGCGTGTGGGATGGAAGCATGAGACATTTTTCAAGTTGCCCGAGTGACAGGTCGCTCCCTCGGCATCAGCAACCTGCCATTTAGGCAATTTCCAAACATGGGTCTACCGGTCTTCTGGAAAGCCATACCTTCTCAAAAAATACTTAGCTGATGGGTTGGTGGGGCAGAGGTGGGGGGAAGCAGGTGGGAGATTGCACTGTGCACCAAGACAGCTCTCTCCTACTGTGTCCTCCATCCCATTAACTGGCCAACTTTGGGATGCAAGTTTACCAGTCTTTCAGAAAACTGGCAGATTCACGTTTGGAAATTGCCCAAGTGACAGGTGGCCAGCACTGGAAAGGTGTTGCAGGAAGCACTGAAGGCACTCCCTTTCCCATCACCCTACACCAGTGTTTCTCAACCTTGGCAACTTTGAGATGTGTGGACTTCAACTCCCAGAATTCCCCAGCCAGCTTGCTGGCTGGAGAATTCTGGGAGTTGAA